AGACCTTCACTGTTATATGAGGTGACTTGAAGGCATGACCCAACTATTTTTTTGATTATGTGGCTCCTGCAGCTCCTAAATTTCGTGTTTGTCAAACTTTTACCTTTACACCCTTGAGCTGCAGTCTCTTTGCGCACTCTCCAGTTTGATCCTCAACACATTTCCCACTTTGAAGACCCGTTTTCACTTCATATTTTGAATTTAGAATTAAGAAGGCTTTTAGCACCCCAAAGCTGTTATTTAGGCCATCTTCCGGCAGAAGAAACTCGATGTCGATTCCTCCTGATGGTCGAGGTGTTGACTTCACCAAAGACTTTGAACAACAGGATATGAAGTATGACTCCACTGGCATGTTTCACTGGTGCCCTGCAAGGAATTTGGATGAATGTGTGCTTGTGAGTTATAAGTTCAGTTTATTTTTCGCAAGAGTCTGTTAAGCATCGCCACTCTACAGGAAAGGCACCAAGCTGCTATGACGGTACTTAACGGCCATGTTGTCGTCTGCCTGTTCGCTGATCGAGACTCACCATTAATTGGGTTAAGAAACTTCATCATGCCTCTGAGGTAGGCACGTTCATCTCACATTAAATATATAGGATATTTTTTCTTCACAAAAAGCGCAATTACAGAGCTTCCAACTTCCACTACCATGAGCTGAAACACGTCGTGATCGTTGGTGACCTGGATTATCTAAGAAAGGAGTGGAAAACTCTTTACAACCTTCCTAAGATCTCCATTCTCAATGTAAGGGCTATCTAAAGGCTCTTTTTAAATAAACTTAAGATTTAGATTTTCCATGAGCGGAAGAGGGAGGAAGTGAGAGGAGAAAAAGAGGTTTTGAGAACAAAGTTAATTATTAGTGTCGAATCACGGGAAAGTGAAGTAATTGAAACGAAGAGAATTTTGCGCAGATCCGACCAAAGAGAACGTGACTTGACTCCGTCCTACCCACACTCCTTTCTTTTCTCCCGTGCTCCATCTGAGAGAATTGTCTGCGACCGCCACTGTCAACTATGCGCCTAAAGTTTAGTGTCTCATAAGCTTTGAAAGTTATTTTGCATTTAGGGCTCTCCGCTATCACGTGCTGATCTACGTGCAGTTAATATCAACCTTTGCGATATGTGCGTGATCATATCTGCTCGAGTGCCGAACACCGAAGACACGACTCTTGCTGATAAGGAAGCTATCTTAGCGTCATTGAATATCAAAGCCATGCAGGTAGGCCATTTGGCTTTAGCTACTTTCCGAATTTATGCGGATTGCGATATGAATGAGAACTTCCTGCATACAGTATTGATTGCTGGAAGAGCATTCTCTTAAGCTTAAAAGGCAAATTGAGTTAGCAAAGCCTAACAATGGTCAGAATGATTCTGTTACATGTTTGCCGCATGAGACCAACTTTTCGTTGATATTTCAATAATCACTGTTTGTACTAAGTTTGATAGTACATCACCTCTTGAACACATTCAAAATCTATGAAAGCTTAGAATGGAGCAGGTGATCAGAAAATGTGAACC